CACTAATACGACAAACATTCGGAAGACAACGTCATCATGAGTCCAATTCTCCTCCAAACCAATTTAGAAACACAAAAAATAATACAAATAATTTTACTTCCTTTATCTGCACATGCTTTCGGAATCAACACTCGATCAAAACCACACACCTACATCACAACCCTAATACATCATTCAGCCTTCATACCATATGCAATAAGCATTGCTTTAGTGATTAGATACGAAGAAAATGTGAGAAAACTATTGGATTATCGGAGTGACCTATTTTTACAAGTGTGTCATCAACATTGCGACTTCACTTATATCTATCTATCTATATATATAAAAATGAATCGCTGTTCGTAAAGGCGTGGGCACATGTCTACATGTCTACCGTAGACATGTGTCCACGCCCTTAGTCTCGCTAAAACTCGAGAACGGCTGGACCGATTTGGCCAATTTTGGTCTTGAATTATTTGTGGAAGTCCAGAGAAGGTTTAAAAGGTACATAAATATGAAAATGCTCGGAATTGAATAAAAATATTATAACAATTTTGTTTTCCCTTTGATGTGTCCTCCGTCGAACGGATTCTCCTATAATGGAGAGCACCGCGTATGGAGAGCACCGCGTAGACCGTATATGGAATCATAATATTGGCTTCATTGCACCGGTTTTAGCGGTAGGGAGCGGCTTGGCTCTGCCCCTGGCATTGCTGAAGTCCATGGGCGACGGTAACCACTCACCATCAGGTGGGCCGTATGCCCGTCTGCCTACAAAGGCAATAAAAAAAAATTAAAAAAAACCCCGAATACAGTAATGTGTCGCGGTTTGTAAGATAAGACTAAGGCAAGGCTTTCATTGAATTAATCCTTGATCATCATCTCGGTAATAATGAATCTTTGACTTATATACCACCCTGCCTATTTCTGCCGTGAAGCAGTAATGCGTTTCGGTTTAAAGGGCGGGGCAGCCGTTGTAACTATACTGAGACCTTAGTACTCGTACCTCAAGGTGGGTGATGGCATTTACGTTGTAGACATTTATGGGCTCGGGTAACCATTTCACACCAAGTGAGCTGTGAGCTCGTCCACCCATTCATGCAATAAAGAAAAGAAAAAAACTTTCTATAACAATGACGATATTGCGTGTTTGAGGACCGTTTGGACAGGGCCTTGACAGTAGTGTACCTTGAAAGTTGCGTCGGGTATGTACTTCAAACGCTAAGCGTATTTATGAAGGGACCGCAGCATAGAGCTGAAATAGAAGGCCAATGATTTCAAAATAATAATATGGTCTCGATGCTCAATCCGATTCTGTTAACTCATTTCAATGAACTAACGCGAAATTGCTCCGAGGTGAATTGCGGGTCGCATAGAGGGCAAACGCGCCGTGGACAGAACACCAGCCACATGTTCCGATCTAGTAAGAGAAGCACTTGGTGGTAGTCTGTACCATGCGGTCCATGCCTCCAATGAACACTACGCTAACTCCAAATTCGTAGGTTTACAGGAGGAGCGTTCAAACAAAAAAAGTTGATAAAATCTTTATTATTGCAGATATATTTATGGTTTTTTGTGTAGCTAGCTGATTTACTCTTGCTTCGAACCCCATCAATAATGATTTGTAATACTTTTAAAATAGTGAAGCGATTCGGGTGAAAAACGAACATTTAAAAATTTTGAGTTAGAGTAGTGTTCATTGGAGGCATCGCCATGATCGAACACAGTAGAAAAACGTCACATGTCATCGCGATCCTCAGCAGTGAGGGAACGATATAAAAGAAGAGAAAAAACAGCACGGTGTTAGAACCCGTACTAGCGCTCACAGTGTCTCTCCAATAATTACAAGTTCTACTCATATTACATAATAATACGAAGCTCTGGATTAATGACGAGATAAACACGATCAGCACTTTGTAATTAAATTACAAGTCGTTGCGCTACAACATCCCGTTATTAATATCCAATAACGAAATTACCCGAAATTCTGCTACCCATGCGCGTAACCCTTTATCAGTGAGAGAGCGTAATTACTGTGGAGCTAGAAAATGTTTCCAATTCAAAATGAAGACGGTCATGTCCATCTTAGATTAAAAGTGAATATATTATTTACTATATATATATTATTACTGGTGGTAAGACCTCTTGTGAGTCCGCGCGGGTGGGTACCACCACTCTGTCTATTTCTGCCGTGAAGCAGTAGTGCGTTTCGGTTTGAAAGGTGGTGCAGCCGTTGTAACTATACTTGAGATCTTAGAACTTATATCTCAAGGTGGGTGGCGCATTTACTTTGTGAATGTCTATGGGCTCCAGTAACCACTTAACACCAGGTGGGCTGTGAGCTCGTCCACCCATCTAGCAATAAAAAAAATAAAAAAAAATATTCTTGCTAAGTAAAATAGAAGCGATATTTGTAGAGCCTTGTCAAATTGACACATTCCCTTCAAATTTTACCCAGTTCAACCTCGATGTATTTTCATTTGAATGCCTCCAAATAATATATACATCGTTCACGAATTTATATCCCGTGAAATTTGGAAACATTTCATTTTCGTCTCATATATCTTTAACAAACTCAATATTCATAGTTTATACACGTGCCAAGAATACGATATTTACCGCGTTTTAAAAGTCAAGCAATCAATTCCATTATCGATGCTACGCGGATCGAGTGATGAAAAACTGCTAATTTTAGAAAATCTCGAAATCGTTTAATTATGATATTGAGAATGAATATACCAACAGGTCAACAAAACATGTGACTGCGATTGAAGGAATTAAAAAAGAAATCCTAAAAATACAGAATTCCACTGTTACACTACCGCACATCTTTATCCATCAAAATCTAACAAAGAAAAATGCGTAAGAACTAAATAGAACTGTACCTTTCCATCGAAAATAACGGTTCCAATCGATTTGTTTAGGCACGTGTTTTTTACGAAATTCTGCTTATAACAAAGCTGTAATTCCACACATATGACGCGTTATGGCGTCAAATCAAGATCTTTAGCTACACTGTTAAGTATTTCTAAAGTGTTCTCATCAATATAAATTCAATGCTTTATTTACAAAAAAAGGAACAGCAGAAGACATACTTCGGTAATTTATTTTGCTATAGTCAGCTTAGATTTAATTTCCATAGTAGCTGAAGAAATTAAATCTAAGCTTTTTTATTTTGATATCTCACTTTCCATCAGATGGGGTGTTTTCTATTGCACCATCAACAGCAATGGATAAAACAGGAAAAGCACGATTGACATCCACGGTGAAGGAATAACATCGTGTAATAAAAATCAAACCCGCAAAATTATAATTTGCGTAATTACTGGTGGTAGGACCTCTTGTGAGTTCGCGCGGGTAGGTACCCACACTGCTTATTTCTGCCGTGAAGCAGTAATGCGTTTCGGTTTGAAGGGTGGGGCAGCCATTGTACTTGAGAGCTTAGAACTTATATCCCAAGGTGGGTGGCGCATTTACGTTGTGGATGTCTATGGGCTCCAGTAACCACTTGACACCAGGTGGGCTGTGAGCTCGGCCACTCATCTAAGCAATAAAAAAAAAACACGCTTCATTTTTTATCTGAAGTCACCTAAGCGGGGTCCGTTACAGGAATAATACAAAACCCAACATGAGATTAAAACATCGTACAGAATCAATACACGCCTTTCAAATGTCCCTTTTTACGTAAAAATCGTTGTGGAAGAAATACCGGGGATGTTTGTCGTAAATTTCTGGCGTTTTCATTATTCGACGTTACAGAAAACACACGTGCCCTTGAACATCCTGAGGATTTCATTAAAAATGCTCAACGTATTTTTAAACCGATTTAGTGTAATTTACACGTTCAGGAATCGACACAATGAAAACAATTTTTTTTTTTTCTAAACTAAATTGTACCGCACACTTTACATAATTTGATACGTCACATTTTTTTTTCCTTTAGGTAAAACTTCGTTATATTAATTTCAATGCAATCTAAAGAAGGTACAAAGTCAATGTTGTTCAATTCTAATTGCAGTCAAATTATTGTACATTTATTTGAAACTAGCTGACCCGGGAGACTTCGTAGTGCCTCAATCGATAAATAAAAGACCTAAACTATTGTATAAAATAAACTTAAAACAAACAAAAGGAATCTGTCTGGCGGGGGACACATCAAAGGAAAAACAAAATTGTTTGTTCTTATAATATAATTCCGAGCATTTTCATATTTATTCACATTTTAAGCCTTCTCTGGACTTCCACGAATAATTCAAAACCAAAATTAGCCAAATCGGTCCAGCCGTTCTCGAGTTTTAGCGAGACTAACGAACAGCAATTCATTTTTATATATATAGAAGATAAACAAAGCAGCAAACAAGAATACGTGTTGTACATAAGATATTGACTTGAATAACCAATCGAAAACAGACAGAATCTGCTGTAACGCTCCAAGACACTCACAACATTAAGTCTATTAGCATTAAACAGAACCGCGAGGCAATACGAAACTAACTTAATGTTCATTTCTCGTTTAATTCCCACAACTCCATTATCAGAAGCGAACAGCATCAACTGAAGCAGCAATTGTTTGTTTTTTCTCGTTTACCCGTTGTATTGTTGATTTGAAGCCGCTAATGAATTTTTCATTAACTCAGTATTGATTGCTCTTAAAATATATTTAGCAAAACGTTTTACTGGTGGTAGGACCTCTTGTGAGTCCGCACGGGTAGGTACCACCACCCCGCCTATTTCTACCGTGAAGCAGTAATGCGTTTCGGTTTGAAGGGTGGGGCAGCCGTTGTAACTATACTGAGACCTTAGAACTTATATCTCAAGGTGGGTGGCGCATATACGTCGTAGATGTCTGTGGGCTCCAGTAACCACTTAACACTAGGTGGGCTGTGAGCTCGTCCACCCATTTAAGCAATAAATAAATAAAAACACTTTCTCAAATATGTGCGTGCAACAAAACAACGCCTTCCTGATTTAATAATTTTATTACTGCCGGCAATTTGTGAACTGTTTTATTTTTCACTCAGGATCCTGGTCCGAGCGATTAGCTACACAGTTCATGGACTAATTCCCGCATCGTGCGTCTTCGCTGACCGTTACAATCGTGAAGAAGTGGTCCGCTCTCTTGGCAAGGAAGTCAACATCAACCCACCACTCATGTTGGGACAGCTGCCTGACACTCCCGAAGAATTACTGAAACTTGATCAGGTGAGAAAAAACACAAAAACAAAATGGCCTCTTCATTTAAATTTACTTGAGGGAAAGAAGGAAAGTTTGCTGAAAATACGAGTATAATGCATTTTTCGTCCGACAATGTTTTCCCTGAAACGCCTTTTAGCATTAAGTATGTGTCTACCAAATTAAAATATGTTGTACTATATTTTCATTTTTCAAAGAGTGACCTAACTATATATTAATACACACACTACCATGTATTTGACACACACGCATGCATACTATTTGTTTATTGTTAAACTTTTTTTATTGCTTAAAGTCTGTGGTCAAATTGAGAATTGATTAAATATTGTTTGTCTTTATTAATGTTTGTCTAAAGTGTAGTCTTGGCGAAGTCTGTGGTTATAGAAGTATAATAGTCTTTGACAATAGAATCATAATAGTGTAAAAACTTATAATTTCAATTAACTAAAGTCGAATTTCGACTACTGCGGGACCACTAGTTCTATCAAATAATCCTGTTTTTTTTTTTCTATTTTAGTAAAACCTTATAATATAAACATGGCCCAAGGCTTAATTTAAAAGCCTTTCAAGCGCTTTATAATGCATGTACAATCCTAAGGGCATTCGCGCGTATCGACATTTTGTATCGGAGTCTTAAAACCAAAAACGAAGAATATCGGCTACAAAGTCTCATCTCATTTAGCATTCAGCCGGGAGAGAGCTCCGAAGAAGTAAATTAGCAGTAAAACCTTTTCTCGTCGCACCGATTGTTTTTTCAGTTCCCAATTACGTGTAAGCGTTGCCTTCACTTACTCGTCTGAAACATTGATGAGGCCGTTAGTCGTGGGCAGGTGCTCCCTTACGCCCCACGGGGAACAGAGTTTTTCAATCACGATTTTTTTTTTCATTCATTATAACCAGCATGACCTGAATTTGTAAAAATACAGTGCAAACGCAATATCATATCGCAGAAGTGCCACCAAAAACGATCATGCCAAATAAAAGTTTTCCGTTAAAATAAATTTAAGTGTAGAAGCTTCAAAGAATAAAGCACTAGCCCACTGAGTTTCTCGCCGGATCTTCTCAGTGGGTCGCGTTTCCGATCCGGTGGTAGATTCTGCGAAGCACGGCTCTTGCTAGGGTTCGTGTTAGCAACGTCGTCAGGTTTGAGCCCCGTGAGCTCAACTAGTTAAGGTTACACTGATATAGCCTCTCAAGGCTTAGGTAGGCCAGCTTAGGTAGGAAAAAAAAAAGTGTAAAGCAAAATATCCAGCGGAAGATAATATAAAACTAAGCAAGTTGAGAAACAAACGCAGAAACAAATACAACGCAAGTTTCAAAAATTCTTTTGCCATTTAATCTAGTACTCATAAGACTTCAAGAATGCCGTCGTTCCAAATATGTCCATCCAATTTAAACATTAAATATCTAATTTTATTCGACGCATTTCGAAATGGTGCATCGCTGTTTCAAATCTTCCAGTGCTTAATAACCGAAAACACGGTCAAATCCTGAGTCACGGCAAGTCTCCACGACGCCACCCCTTCGCTTACGACTAATCACGGTAATGGACTAATGACAAGTTAGATGGCAAACTACTCCGAAGCGCAACTCGTGTGTAAACTCGACTCTCACGTGAAATCTTGTGCTGTCATTTTAATGACAGAGATAAAATATTAAGGAATACGTAATCAAATTCTCAGCGTTAATTCAGTAACTTTGCTGCGTCGATTAATTAATTGAGTCACGCACTTGTTAGTGTAAGCGTTAAAGTAAAATAGAAAAAAAGATGTGTGGTGTCTTGGGACACCGGATAGGAAAAAGTTCCTTATTATAAAAATATTAGATTTAAGTTCTATTCGAAGTATAAAGAAAATAAAACTGGATGTTTCGCAACAACCCACGGTCATTCAGTAACGTGCGAACTTATTGTGGTACACTTCATTCACGGTTGTTTGCATAAGAGTTAGTGTACTGCGCAAACGAACGCTCTGAGATCGTGGTCAATTAATGATTAAAAATATCTTATTTTTTGTACGTTATTACAAAATTAAGTCGTACACTGTGTGCATTATTAATTTGTACGTTATTACAAAGTTACGTCGTACACTGTGTGCATTACTAATAAAAATCTTACGTTACGGACGTTTTTTCCCGGTTAGGGTACCCCTCCGCATCGTCCCATAAGGAACTTCGTTCCAAAAAAAATTATTGACGCTCGTATGTTACATCATCGATTAAACGGAATTAAATTAAAGTTTTCTGAAAGTGAGCTTGGAATTGTTTATTTCAAATTAATAAAGGTATAAACAGGTTCATGACTAGAAACCACGCAAAATTTTTAAATGCATTTAGGTTAGACGAGTATATAAAATGTACGTCTAAAACAAATCCCACAAAAAGTAAAACAGAAAGCGTCTGCGAGTCAGACGCGAACAATTCAGCTTGCCGCGTTGAAGGAGAGTCGGTTCGATCCAGTGGGCTGCCAATTTTCATTAGGTACTGTCAGAGGTACGCTTACAAGTCGGAACTTTGTTGAACGGGCACGTCCCACGCCATCCTTTGCATTTCGAATTCACTAAAACGTCGGATTTCATGAATATAACAGCGCGGACTCACATATGCGAATTAATCCGTGGAAATGGAATGGAAGTAGAAATTGTATCATCGTTAAGACCGCACAAATGAAGTACGTATTAAATAAAATATTAAAACATTCAGCAGCATAATCTTTTTTATGAAAAAAATGGGCTTGCAGATTTCACATCAACCTTTCGGATGCGTCTTGAAAATAGTGGATTTATAATGAAAAAATGTTTTTGAATTTGATGAATTCAATTACGCACTTACATTCTTCATTGATGTACACGTTGATTGTGGTATTAATATGATTTAAAATGTAATGTACATTACATTTCGTGTCAAATTTTTAATTCATTTATCTAAAATTTTTTATTACTTAGATGGGTGAACGAACTCACAGTCCACCTGGTGCTAAGTGGTTCTGAAGCCCGTAGACATCAACTTGAGACATGACTTCTAAATCACAGTTTTATTGCACAACAGCTACCCTACCGTCTAGGCAGGATGGTGACACTTACCTGTGCGGACTCAAACATCCTACCACCAGTAAAGAATTACTAATACTTACTAGTAATTATTAAAATCAAAACGCTATAAAAGCTACATAAAAAAAGAAACCTTTCAGACTACAAATAAATATAAGAAAAAAATATTTTTACATGTAAAATCGAAGAACTTACTACTAGTAATCATAGAACGCACAAAAAAAAACTTCGCAGACACATGCCAATAAAACAGACAATACGTACGCGGGATTGATCTAGGTCTCGTTTCCGATCCCCTGAGATCGATGCCCGTTCACCACGATTCCTTTTATAAATAAATATCTGTAAATGAAAGTGCTTTTAATACATTTTCCTTGTTCACCTCAAACGTCGCGCGATGGAAAATGTACTCTGGTAACACGACTTGACATATACGAGTATGTTTGACAAAAAAACTCGACTATTCCCAGTACCTTCAATATTCTGCGGCCCCAATATTATTGACGACTTTGGGCAAACGGTTACGGATCCATTTTACTACACTTTAGGTGCCAACGATGTTTTTGTTTGTCTGTATATTGCCCTTATCGAATCCAGTTATATTTCAATCCATCGCGAACTATTCTTAATATGTGTATTATTTTAAATAAAATACGTTTGTAAACGTATATTCAACGTAGTATTTTTGTCGTAACCAGCCCACAAGTCCATTAAGTGATGAACAACTAACGTAGCCGATAGAAATATCAACATGTATGACGCCGGCCATCTTGAGAAATGAGGTTAAATCAATTGATTTAAAATAAAACGATTGCCTTTTTAAATGGAATACTTGAGATGCATTGCGCTAGAAATAAGCAAGGTTGTGTTATAGACCCATACGAGTTCACAACATCACCTTTTTTTTCGGGCATGGCTCGAACCTCATACGAGGTGTTCGTGCCTATTGAGGTATTGAGACTTAACAATCTGCAGGTGTGAGCAGATCACGCGCCCAAAGATGTTTTTAGGGCCCTACGCACCAAAAAAGTCCCCTTGAACTCTCCCACCCCCCGTTCGATCTCCACCCGCGGACGAAATCTAGGCAGAGTTGGGGGGTTCCCGCAGTCAACACTGCAGTCGAAAATCGCAGCGTCAACCCGAGGGCACCTGATCAACGTGTCTTCGAGGCGATCGTCAACAACTAATGATGCCGGTTTCCGCGATACGGCGACCCGTTAGACCGTCCGGTTGGTGCCGCTTTTATTGCGAGATACCTCACTGGATCAGAACCAGTCACAACCCGACCTTTTCAGGAAGAGTTACAGATCGGGTTAGGTCGTTATAAATGTGTTAAATCTGGTTACGAATACCCGATCCAGGGAGGGTACTGTAGATCGGGCTACGTCGGACTCCGGCGCCTCCACAGAAAGTAACAGACCGAGGTCCACCTCTCCTCCCAACTACTCTTAGGCGACTACGCCTTGGAAAAGGCACGCGAGGAGCCGCGATACGTGACCTACGTAAGATCCGCCCCTAACCTAAACTGTAAAATTTGCAGGTTTGATTTTTATTAAGTGTTAGTGAGCATGCTAAGTTAATGCTTAGGTAAAAAAATATATCCCATACCATGCCAGGAGTGCCTGAAAACATTGTGTATATACTAAAAATATATAATAATAATAATTATTATTATTATTTATTTATATTTATTTAAAATATTTTAATTACAATATTTTTTTAAAAAGATATTAAAAATACAATTTTTAAAAAACACTATATAAAAATAGATTGCCGCTGATGGCGGTGTCTACGACAGAAGCCACCAGTGGTTAGGACTCCAGAGTGAGAAACCTCCTCACAATGCGTGCAGTATCGAGGATAGCTGCTTTCTGTATTAGGCCCTTAACCCAGCTGGATAACGTTTCTTAAGATGTTGATCGAAACTTTTCGCTATCAAGCCGTGTACCGACACAACTATTG